AGGGGAAGTTAGAGGCGGAGGTGGCGCAGTTAAGATATCACTCCGGGCCACAGCAGCTGAAAGCTGTCGGGCTCTGACTGCCCGTTGAGAAGCCCTCCTGCGGCAATTGTCGCAGGACCGAAACTGTGTAGAGCGCCATGGCCTGGCGCAACCAGAGCAGAAAGTACGTTGCGCAGGGAGAGATGTCATTAGAGAAGAGACGACTTGGAGCTAGCAAACGGCATCCGTTTCGAGGCGGACTGGGAGAGTAGCGAAACGAGAAGGTTGGGGCCAGCAAGAAAGATGCGTGTTGAACATTCATATAGTAGAAATCGAACACGTCCGCCGTGCGCACGAGTGCACAGGACTACTATCCGCAGGATGCTCAAGACAAATAAGGATGGAATCACAATAGAAAGGCGAGAAGGCTTGAAGCCCACCGACAGCAAGACTAGCGGAAAGACTGGGATCCCTAGACATGGAGAAAAAGCAACAGAGGCCGAATACGAGTTCGGGAAGCACAAAGCCTAAGGAGGAAAGAAACAAAGTATGCGAGCAGCAATCGGAAGAGAGCCTGGAGAGTCAGAGCAGCAAACGAGAAGAGCGCCTTTGCAGTCAATAAGAGTATTCCTTGGCAGTAAAAAGCACCAATTAGGAAGCAGAAAAACAAAGAGGTTGGCAGTGGGAGCGCAGCCAAGCTCTGCGGGCAGCTCGCGCAGGGTTGTAAAACCCTTTCACTACGTTCCTTCGTTTCAGGGCAGTGGGAGCGCAGCAACTGGTGACGCGCGCTGCGCACGCTGATGCCCTGAAACGAAGTGAAGAAAGTGGAGATAGCTGTAAAAAAAATGAGTATGGAAGTGATATTAGACAATGAGATGAGAAAGGAACATGAATGTCTTGATTGGTCACAGACGTGCAGGAAATGCGACCGCGAAGCTTATATATTTAGCATGTGATGACATCTGTGGTTAGGCGGGGAAACAACTCTGTCACCCCATATCTATCTCGGAATGACAAGACAAACCAGAGATTTGATTCAGAGGTCTATCATCTAGACATGTCTCTGTGCCCAGTTCTGGTTGAATTCAATTGTGAAAATACGTTTAACCTACTTTCATACGTTCACGATCTTCCTCGTAGTCTCGTTCCCGTCGATTCTACGGTCATTCCGAAGGACTCCGAATACGCAGTTCTGTTCGAGCGCGCAGTATTGCCGATCCTCAGAGAGCATGAAGCTGCTTGTCAGGCAGCATCAAGTCCCCAGTGTGGTGTTTGTGGTTCGGCCACGGAGCAAATCTTGCAAACGCCTATATCCATTATTCAAGATACTGGGCAACCTTTTCTTTCGGTGTGGGTCCATTCTCTTTGCGGCAAATCAGAGTGCGAAACGCAGACGAGGAATGGTATGGACAGGATCATGGGCAGGCTGAGACGGCAACTTTCAGATGAAATGCGCTCGGATGCGAAGAACTGCAAAGTGTGTGGGAAGTCGGAGGGAATAAAGAGATGTGCCCGATGCAAGGCTGTAGTTTACTGCGGGATCGAGCATCAGAAAGCAGATTGGAAGACACACAAAATGTTTTGCGTACCGGGGGATGGGGAAGATCGCTAAGAAAGGCACGTTCCATTTAATCAGTGGGTTTGTTGCATATTGATGTAGTTATTTTTTACACGGACGTGAACGAAATCAATATATTCTCTCATCTGGTTGGGATGAGCTATGACTTTTATTTCGCATATCCCCTTCCCAGTCTGACATTGTGTTTTTCTCCAGTTCTTGCAGTCTTTGCATTTCGGCGAGCAATCGCGGGTCGGGTTTGAATTGCAGGTCTTTCACGTCTAGCTTCTGGAGGAGATGAAGTGCCAGAGGCCTTAAAAAAGACCTCGTTGCTGGCAAGGATGCTCCAGTGTCATGAGCAGGATGCGGGGTGGGCGAAACTGGTGCCACAGGAAGTGTGAGTGGCCGTTGCGGAACTGGTGCTAGAGGCCTTAAAAAAGACCTCATTGCTGGCAAGGATGCCCCAGTGTCATGAACAGGATGCGGTGTGGGCGAAAGTGGTGCCAGTGGCCTTAAAAGACATCCCCTTGTTGGCAAGGATGACGTAGAGTCTCGAATAGGGTGCAGTGCACGCTGGACAGCGTCAAAAATAGTAGCAAATCAGAGAATGGTCCACACCCAGTACCTTATGAGATGCCGCCGTCCTTCGGGTAGCAGGCTCGCGGTGGTTATGTTGAACAAGGTACTGTAAAGCCGCCAGAACCTTCGCCTTTCGAACGATCAGAAATGGATTCAGGTCTGAATCTACAGGGGGTCGAGCACCCAGCCAGAACACCTTGATTAGGCTATGCAGAGTTAACTCCGGGCTCGGTAGGATCTCGAGAAGTGGTCCTGGGTCTTGTGGGATGACAATGAAATGACCGCGGAGGGCATGGTAGTTGACTGGTGCGGGGCGGCCACCCGGCCGCAGTTTCAAAACGACACCAAGAGGATGGCACTTTGCAATGAGGTATTCTTCCGTCAGGGTGAGGCCTTCCAGATCAGACGGATAGTCCTGGCACAGAGTTATGTTCACCAGGTTCTTCGCAGAGAACTTAGGAATCATATCCCGATTGAGTGAAGCATGGCATGACGAGCAGAGAACCCAAGTGTCGCTGTCGCCACGCCGGCCGCAAGTATCAAGGGCTCCCTCTAATGGCAGCAGTAAAGGGTCATCATTATCCACATGGTAGATACTAGTGTTGGGGACGAGTTTTCCGCATGAACCACATACACATCTCTTCGAAGCAGCGGAAATCTCATCCTCGAATCTGGCTACGGATGTTCGTATGTGTGAGCAGGAGATCTCCGGGGGGAATGCATCGGAGGCGACGGCCCGAGCCTCCAGCTCATCGCGTAGGAAACCCAGCGCTCGATTTAAACTATCCGGTACCGTCCCTAGCTCTAGCTGTCTTTGCCTTTTTGCACTACGCTGCTTTAATGCTCTCTCTCATGATCGAGAAATCAGTGGTGTGCAGGTCGCCAGCGTCTTGCTTCACCTACCAACCTATTACACGATCAATTACAACTTCATCCGCATCAACCTCTGGTGGCTAAGGCGATACATTCGCGCAATCATTCAGCCGGATAACCTTGAAAGTAATCATCCTTCTGATCCTATAGCAGAAGAACCTTGCACATACGAAACTGGCGACACCGCCCCCGTAAGCATCTTCGACAATTATAAATGGCGTGGACCGCACCTCACTCCTCTTGCTTTATTTGAATACTGCATGCTTGTAAAGACCAGGAATAGACGCGATGCCATTGCGGACGACATAGACTTCGACCCGGACCACCCTAGATATACCACGCACGTACAGCGCCTGGCACGCACCTCATCCCAGGTGGCCACAGTGACTTTCAACGGACAACTAACTGAATTCCAGGCCGCGGAGGATGCGGTTCCAGGAGGCCATCCGAAAACAACCGCGGTCAAGAATGACATATCCGAGATATTATTGGGGCTCTTTGTTCCCTGGCATTACCTAACTAACCTCTTCCGACGCTACGCGACAAAACGGGACGCCTGCATTCAAGTATGGGCGGCCGTTGAACCAACCCTCGCATTTCACAACCGAGGATTTGCAAGAAACATCGAACTCCTACGGAAATCCAAGGAAGACTGCCAGGCTGATGCAAAAATGTGGAAGTCAGCAAACGGTGCTGCTGATTCATTTCGCCATGATGTTGATAACTTTGAGCCCGCAAGTTTCGGTTCTGATGAAGAAGGCGATGAATTCTTTCACCTACAGGATGAGAACTTTAATCCGGAGACATTGATCGCAGCCTACCACTCCATCAGCAAAGCATGGCATCGAGAGACTCTACTCACTGGACGGCGGATCCCTCCCTTGCTCCGTGCGATAACCCAAACTCGAAGCTTAGCTCTACAAAACCTTCAGCCACTCGACATCTTACGTACTCCCGCGTACGCAACATCGGGCCTAAGATTCATCCCACCATCTACTTTACAGGCATGGGAATTTCGACTGAAAGGTTTCGCGAACCTTGACTATGAGAAAAGCATAGATCATGAGGTTGCGACCTCTAGCTCTGCACTTGACAATTTCGAAGCCCAGATTGAAGATAGCATCTTGCAGCCCATGCTGGCTAGCTCCGATATGGTCCCTGCTGCAGATAATCGCCAATCCCGAGTTGGCGATAACCCCACTGGCGCCTCTCTTACATCCTTGGTCAGTGGATTGATCCCCCTAAATCGGAAACAACGGATGATCGTGGAGAGGGTTCTATCTGAGGCGTTGGCCTGGGCAGACCACCCTTATGATTCAGCGCAGCGCAAGCAGACTCTCCTCTATGTTGGTGGTGAAGGTGGCACGGGGAAAAGCCAGATCGTCAAGGCAATTGAAGCCGGTATGCACCTTATCGGGCGGAGAGACGAGGTGATCCTCATGGCGCCAACGGGTGCCGCCGCCGATAATATCGGCGGGAATACATACCATACATCTTTAGGGATCTCCATCGACCGCTCAAGACGAACTGCAATGAGTTCTCGAGTGAGACGGCTCTGGTCTCGCAAAACCATCATGTTCGTGGACGAAGTGAGCATGATGGATCTGACTATGATCAGCGTGATTGATAATCACTGCAAGATCGCGAAGTCCCTAGACAGATCCTCCACTGATCTTTTTGGTGGCCTTCCCGTCGTCATTTTTATAGGCGACTTTTTCCAATTTCCACCTGTTCGGGGCCCGGCATTATGGAAGGAACCAAGAAGGGGATCGGGTGAGGATGAGAACGGTCGGATCCTCTGGCATCATTTCAAACAGGTAATCATCTTGCATGAACAAATGAGACAGGCAGAGGATGCTCCATTTCATAATCTCCTATCACGAGCGAGGACCGACTGTGCACGGGGCTTTTTGTGTAACACTATGTTCGTGTTGTGAAGCGGTTCGCACTACCAAGACCCAAACGAACCCTATCGGATTCAGCCGTTGTCTCCCGCAAGTCTAACCGCGCCATGACCCATGCAGCCACACCTGGTGGCACATCCTGTAGGCCCGATACCTTCGACCGTATCCGTTCATTAAGAGATGGAGAAAAAGCACGAGGTGTTAATACGAGCCAGGGAAGCACCAAGCCTAAGGAGACCAAGGCTAAGGAGGAAAGAAAGACAGGTATCAGACAAACTATCAATCGGAAGAGAGCCTGGAAAGGAAAGAACAGCAAAAGAGAAGAGAGCGTGGAGAACCCCAAAATACGCCACGAAACGCCCGCGACAGACACGTGATAGCAAAGAAAAGCAGCAAATGAAAGTCGAAGGCGTGAAGAAGAAACAGCAAGTGAAAACGAAGAAGAAAAAGAAGAAACAGCAAGTAAAAGCGAAGAAGAAACAGCTAAAACAGCAAATAGGAGTAAAACTTGGCGCCCGAAACGGACCAATCAGCAGGGCGAAACGTAAGGAACTGGTGACGCGCGCTGCGCAAGCTCCGCACGCTGATGCCCTGAAACGAAGTGAAGAAAGTGGAGATAGCTGTAAGAAATATGAGTATGGATGTGATATTAGACAATACGGTGAGAAAGGGACGTGAATGTCTGTAGAGTCATTTGATTGGTCACGGACGTGCAGGAAATGCGACCGCAAAGCTTATATATTTAGCATGTGATGACATCTGTGGTTAGGCGGGGAACCAACTCTGTCACCCCATATCTATTCCTGAATGACAAGACAAACCAGAGATTTGCTTCAGAGGTCTATCGTCTAGCCATGTCTCTGTGCCCAGTTCGGGTTGAATTCAATTGTGAAAATACGTTTAACCTGCTCTCATACGTTCACGATCTTCCTCGTAGTCTCGTTCCCGTCGATTCTACGGTCATTCCGAAGGACTCCGAATACGCCGTGCTGTTTGAACGCGCATTACTGCCGATCCTCAAAGAGCATGAAGTTGCTTGTCAGGCAGCATCAAGTCCCCAGTGTGGTGTTTGTGGTTCGGCCACGGAGCAAATCTTGCAAACGCCTATATCCATTATTCAAGATACTGGGCATCCGTTTCTTTCGGTGTGGGTCCATTCTCTTTGCGGGAAATCAAAATGTGAAACACAGACGAGGAATGGTATGGACAGGATCGTGGGCAGGCTGAGACGGCAACTTTCAGATGAAATGCGCACGGAAGCGAAGGACTGCAAAGTGTGTGGGAAGTCGGAGGGAATAAAGAGATGTGCCCGATGCAAGGCTGTAGTTTACTGCGGGATCGAGCATCAGAAAGCAGATTGGAGGACACACAAAATGTTTTGTGTGCCGGGGGATCGAGAAGATCGCTAGGAAAGGTACGTGTTATTTACTGGTTGGGTTTGCTGCAGATTGACGTAGCTGTTTTTTAGACAGACGTGAACGACATCATTCTATTCTCTCATCTGCTTGGGATAAGCTATGACCTTTATTCCACGTATCTCCTTCCCAGTCTGACATTGTTTTTTTCTCTAGTTCTTGCAGTCTTTGCATTTCAGTTAGCAGTTGAGGGTCAGGTCCGAATCGGAGGTCTTGCATGTCGAGTTTCTGCAGGAGATGGAGTCCTTTTGACGATCGAAGTCGGGATAGCTGCACATACATCGAGCAATACTTCCGGTGACGATCTTGTCCCCGAATAGTAGGGTCATCTTTGAGGTCAAGGATCGCAGCTGTGAGGGTCGCGCCTTGCACTTTGTAGTCGGTGAGACAGAAAGCCGGGCACATAGGGACCTGCTTTCTTCGGACCGAATAGCCTTTCAGGGTGATAGATCTCTCTAATGGAAAAACTGGCATGACGGAAGGTTCAAGGTCTTGAAATCCTGTTTCCCTTGCTTTATGCGGCTTGAATAAAATACACGCGGGCGGTGTGGTGCACATGATATAGAGGTCGTCGATTTGAAAGAATTCAGCTAGTGGGGAGGTGTCAGGTAGTTGGGTTTATGACAGGTAACGAAATATTAACCTACCAGTCGGATCTACCACGATCCCTACAGCAGTTCCCGCTGCGCCATTGACCAGGCCCAGCAGAGTACAGATGTTGGTTAGCATAGCGCTAGGCATATGCGGAGTGTACAGAAACAGTCCCGGGAAAGGGATCTTGGTGCCTTGGTCCGGTTGCTGGATCAAGTCATCTGCACGAAGTCGCAGGCTGATTAGGCCAGTGGACCTGGTCCGCGTATGAAGCGCAGGAAATATATAGACATTTTGGCATCGGGTACGTGCAAATTGCTCTATTCGAACGCGATTCACCTAGTGGCGCAGAGAGTTCAGCTTGACAATGGCAGTGGCATCTTCTAATTGAGGGCTGACCAAGGACGTTATGGTTTTGCTGTTAAGGACGGATCGATCGGCTTCAGATAAAGTCCCTGTCCTGGCTCGCGATAGGAGATCGCGGAACGGAGCATCTTCTGACTGTCTCATTTGCTCATCCAAGATGATTACCTGTTTGAATTGATGCCACAGCAGCCGACCGTTCTCATCCTCATCCGCGCCCCTTCTTGGTTGCTTCCATAGTGGCTGGCCCCGAACTGGTGGAAATTGGAAAAAGTCACCGATAAAGATGACAACGGGAAGCCCACCGAAAAGATCGGTGGAGGATCTGTCGAGAGATCTGGCGATCTTGCAGTGATTATTAATCACGCTGATCATGGTCAGATCCATCATGCTTACTTCGTCCACGAACATAATGGTTTTGCGAGACCAGAGCCGTCTCACTCGGGAACTCATTGCAGATGCTCGTGAGCGGTCGATAGAGATCCCTAAAGACGTATGGTACGTGTTCCCGCCGATATTGTCGGCCGCGGCACCCGTTGGCGCCATGAGGATCACCTCGTGCTTCCGTCCGATGAGGTTCATACCGGCTTCAATGGCCTTGACGATCTGGCTCTTTCCCGTGCCGCCTTCACCTCCAATATAGAGGAGGGTCTGCTTGCGCTGCGCCGAATCATAAGGGTAGTCCGCCCAGGCCAAAGCTTCAGATAGCACCCTCTCTACAATCATTCGTTGTTTCTGATTTAGGGGGATAACTTCACTGACGAGGGACGCAAGAGAGGCGCCAGTGGGATTCTGGCCAACCCGGGATTGGCGATCATCCATAGCAGGGATCGTGTCTAAGCTAGCCAGCGTAGGTTGCAAGATGCCATCTTCAATCTGGATGTCGAAATCGTCAAGTGCAAAGCTAGAGGTCGCACGAACCGTGCTTTCGTCATGATCAAGATTGGTGAAACTTTTCAGTCGAAACTCCCATATTTGTAAAGTGGGTGGTGGGAGGAACCTTAGGCCAGACGTTTCGTATGCAGGAGTGTGAAAGATATCCAGAGGTTGGAGGTTCCGTAGGAGCAAGTGTCGCGTGGGGGTTATCCCACGGAGCAAGGGAGGGATCCGCCGTCCAGTGACCAGCGTCTCTCGATGCCATGCTGTGCTGACGGTGTGGTAGGCTGCGATCAATGTCTCCGCGTTAAAATTCTCATCCTGCAGGCGAAAGAATTCATCGCCCTCTTCGCTACCAGAATCAAAATTTGCTGGATCAAACCCATCAACATCATGTTGAAGCGAATCAGCTGGGCCGTTTGCAGATTTCCACATTTTTGCGTCAGCTTGGCAGTCTTCCTTGGATTTCCGCAGGAGCTCGATATTTCTCGCAAAACCTCGGTTGTGAAACGCGAGGGTTAGTTCGGCGGCGGCCCATGCTTGAACACAGGCGTCCCGTTGTGTTGCATACCGTCGGAAGAGATTACTCAATTGGTTCCAGGGAACAAAGAGCCCCAATAATATCTCGGCCACATCATTCATGATCGCAGTCGTTTGGGGATGCCCCCCGGAACAGCGTCTTCTGCGACCTGGAATTCGGTTAGCTGTCCGTTGAAAGTCACGGTAGCTACTTGGGATGGGGTGCGCGCCAGGCGCTGTACATGCGTGGCATATCTAGGGTGGTTTGGGTCGAAGTACATATCGTCCGCAATAGCATCGCGAGTATGCCTGGTCTTTACAAGCATGCAGTATTCAAATAGCGCAAGAGATGCAAGGTGCAGTCCGCGCCATTTATAGTTGTCAAAGATGCTTACGGGGGCGGTGTCTCCAGTTTCATACGTGCAAGGTTCTTCTGCCATGGGGTCGGAAGAGCGGCTACTTTCAAGGTTATCTGGCTGAAGGATCGCCCGGACATAACGCCTTAACCACCACAGGTTGAGGCGGGTAAAGCCGTAGTTAAGCGTGTAGTAGGTGGGTAGCTGGAGCAACACACTGGCGACCTGCACCCCACTGATTTCTCGGTCATGAGAGAGGGCATTAAAGCAGCGTAGTGCAAAATTTTCGACCCCCTTTTCTCGAAGCCGTAGGTCTGTCGTTGTTGGTGGCTCAGCAAGCTTTGCCTTCTCAATGGACTGCTTCAGCAAAGCCGCCTTGGCAACTATCTGCCACGGAGAGACATCGTCTTTCGTGGCGTAGTTCGTCATGTAGTAGATCAGAGACAAAGACTTAGAGATCGTTGGAATCCAAGAGATATCTTGATTGGAGCGGATGCAACTTGCAATGGCCGGGTTCCACGGATTTATCCAGGCATGATTTCGAGCGAGGTGAATCAAGCCAAACTCGTCTATCTTAGAGGCAGGAACTAGATCTCGGGGCATGCCGAAGCGACAGGCATTCTTTCTGGATCCCGTTTGCCGGTACTTAAAGCATGTGGCGAGATGGTTTCGGGAATGGACTTGCATTTTACGAGCGACGCAATTACTATCGTGAGATAGTCGAAGATGAAAGTCGTGATTGGATTCGAAGTCTTTGGCCGATGGCGGCATGCTGGGAAGGTTCACTTCAGGGTCGTGCGGAATACTCTCATCAACGCCTTGTACAATGATTGACTCCAAGTAGCGAATTATACGGGCCGCAAAGTCGCTATCCTGGAGCAGCCGATCCCGTAAACTGTCGAAAGTGAGATTCCCTCTGGCCCATGCTAATCCGTGGAGATGCAGCATGCCTCGACCGTTCGTCTCGACAACAGCAAAATGGTTCGAGAGATCGCCCAGGACGCCAATCTGGCCAGTATTGGTAGCGAGAAGGCCGTCCAGGATGGCTTTGCAAACGTGATGGAAGAACTCAGCAACAGCGACGGGGTTAGAGGTAACTGCAGCCTCACGTATAACGGCATTTGCCGCGGCCAAGTTGTCCCTAGAGTACTCAACACCGGCTAGGATCAGGACTAAGGGGTTCCGCAGATCGGAGGGGTTGATAGTGATCCAAAAAGCGGGCATGCCGTACCGGAGAATCAGTCCTCGAATTTCAGCGCGCATTCTTAGTTTTTGGGCGAAGGATCCTGGGACCTGCATCCCGATCGTCTCGATATTTCGCAGCAGTCGTCGAATGATCGGGTCTTCAATTTTCTGGCCAGTTGCGACCGTCTTCGCTGCATCCTGGAGCCGGTTCACCGTCAGAGAGGCGATGTCATTCATTGTTGACTGCCAATTCAGCCGTTTGATGAGGAACATGTTGCCCGTTGATGACTTCCGAAGCTGGATCACGTCATACAGCAGGTACATGAAGGTCTTGTGGCGTGCGAACCTACGCGAATAAGCAGAGGCCAGCATCACTACTTAAATATTTTCAAAGAAAGCGACCCACCTTCTACTATGGTGACGCAAAGCCCAGTCGGCAAAAGCGCCAAGTGACACCGTGACAGTTCGCTCATCGAGATGGCCCCCGATCCCGGCCGGAAACAAGGTTGGGAATGCGGCGGTAAAGTAATGGGGATCTGACCAGTGATTCACCAGGGTGGCTTCTCCACGGGTTGTGTAAGAGATTATCGGCATCTTTTTATGATCGAGGGGCCGCGTGTTTGTCTCACTTTCTCTAGCCGACATGTCCTGACGCGATGGCGCTGGTCTATTCACGGCTACGCTAAACAGTGCGTCCAACGCGCGAAGATTGGGGTCCTGACGTTCGCTATTGATGTCTGTAGAGACGGAACCGGTGATGAGAGGTCCACCACCACTGGCGTCAAGCGCACTATCTTGGGCAGCCTGAAGATCGTTCTCGTAATTCCCTGTCTGCAGGTTTACGGTGTACCCCTCACGCTCATGGTGATCGGGCTCGTCGAGGCTGATGATGTTATCGCGCAGCCCTGGCGGGATGAACTCATCGCCCCAGCTATCGATCACGGGACGGTTGATTATGAGGTTATGGTAGAGGTGGTTATGTCGAACAAGGTATTGCAAGGCCGCCAGTACCTTCGCTTTCCGAACGAGCAGGAATGGATTCAGGTCCGAGTCCTTGGGGGTCGAGCACCCAGCCAGAACACCTTGATTAGGCTATGCAGAGTTAACTCCGGGCTCGGTAGGATCTCGAGTAGTGGTCCTGGGTCTTGTGGGATGACAATGAAATGGCCGCGGAGGGCATGGTAGTTGACTGGCGCAGAGCGGCCGCCTGGCCGCAGTTTCAAAACGACACCAAGAGGATGGCACTTTGCAATGAGGCATTCTTCCGTCAGTGTGAGGCCTTCCAAAGCGGACGGATAGTCCTGGCACAGAGTTACATTCACCAGGTTCTTCGCAGAGAACTTAGGAATCATGTCTCGATTGAGTGAAGCATGGCATGACGAGCAGAGATCCCAAGTGTCATCATGCCAGCCGCAAGTATCAAGGGCTCCCTCCAATGGCAGCAGTAAAGGGTCATCATTATCCACATGGTAGATATTAGTGCTGGGGACAAGTTTTCCGCATGAACAACAGACACATCTTTTCGCAGCAGCGGAAATCTCATCCTCGAATCTGGCTACGGATGTTCGTATATGTGAACAGGAGATCTCAGGGGGAAACGCATCGGAGGCGACGGCGCGAGCCTCCAGCTCATCGCGCAGAAAACCCAGCGCCCGATGTAAACTATCTTGTGACGTGCCCAGCTCTAGCGGTCTTTGCCTTTTGAGCGTGGCGCTCAATGAAGTCGGGTTGCATCTTTTCTTTCCGGCGGCGACTGGGGATGGCTGCGAGGACAATGGCAGCGGTAAGGGAGGCACTGGCAGAGGACCCGCAGGAAGCAGCACTCTTTTTGTTCTCGGTTCGGCTCCCGGGTTGCACCTTTGCTTTCCGGCGGCGACTGGGGATGGCTCGGAGATCAATGGCAGCTGTAAGGGAGGCACTGGCAGAGGACCCGCAGGAAGCAGCACTCTTTTTGTTCTCGGCTCAGCTCCCGGGTTTAATGGCACAGGAACTGGCCGAAGTGTAGCGGTTGAAATGTGTAACGATTGAGGCAGAGTGAGTGGTGGATGCGAAACTGGTGCTAGAGGCCTTAAAGGAGTCCTCGTTGCTGGCAAGGATGCCCCAGTATCATGAACGGGGTGCAGGGCGAGCGAAACTGGTACCAGAGGCCTTAAAACACGAAGGGTGGGAAATGCAGGTGCGGAAGCGGAATTTAGAGGAGGCGGTCCAGTAGAACGTTTACTCCCCCCGCAGCGGCCGTAAATTGTCGAGAAGCTAATGCTCGCTGAGAGGCCTTGCGGCGGCAATTATCGCACGACTTGAACTGTGTGGATTGCCACGGTCTGGCGCAACCAGAACAGAGAGTACGTCGCGCAGGAAGAGACGGCATCAGAAAAGCGAAACATGGAAGAGAAGGCAGCAGCGAGGAAGACAAGGGAAAATAATAATCTTATACGAGTCGCATTGGCAGCGGCCTTCGGCCGCTGCTCCGGTTCAGATGTGAGTAGCTTACGCAGGAGAGTGTAATGGAAGGGAAACTACTCTGAATTCATTAGGCAGGGAGCAGCAGATCATGGTATACTACATTCAGTGTTGAGTGATCCGTCTCATCGGGGTTCCGTAGGATGCAGATGTCCGGAGCTGTTCGGACCCGGGATAGGCTGGTGTACAGCTGGCCATGGGCAAAGACAGGCATGGCCAGGTCCAATACCACACAGTCTAAAGTGAGGCCCTGGCAGCTGTTGAACGTGGTGGCGTAGGCAATGCGCAAAGGAAACTGCCGACGCTGGACAGTCCAATTTGCGCGTAGTGGTTTGAATTCGAACGTGATTCGCGGCAGATAGAAAGGAGAGTTAGTTTGTTCTGGTACTGGTTGCAGCTGCTGGAGCAGTCGCACCTCAATCACATTGGGGAGCAAGTTCACCACCTGCACCCTCGCGTTCTTCACCAGACCCTTCTCAATAGAGAGATTCCGCATGATGCTTGCAATGCAACCTATCTTCAGCGACAGGGCGTGCGGTGGCACACCTGACTCGTGCAGTATTGACAGCAGATCAGCTTCAGCGCCTGCAGGAAGATGGAAGGTGGTGTCATCCAGCTCCTTGATAGTGTCTTGGCTGTAGTACGCGGCTGGAATCCCGTGATATATCAATAGAGTGGCAAGCAGTATGTAGAGAGAAAAAGAAAGCAAAATATAAGAGAATCAGAAGAGAGGGAGATATACTTGGCGATCCTGATAGACGATCCAACATCAGCAGATTAAATAAATCTACACGGGCATTGAACGGGCTGAGAAAGGCGCGATGGACTGCAGCGGGAGAGGTTTGAAGTCCATCATTAAGAAAGAGGAAGTTTGCTGCTTCACCCAGAGTTTCTAGATGACGCAGATGCTGCAGCGACACGCTGGTCTCGTACGGAGTGATGCCATCACCAACCTGATCTACCCATCGTGCATATACAGGGTCGCCCGCATTCCGGATGGGGATAGTCAGTCGTAGTATCTTGAATCTCTCCCAGAGGTCCGAAGTGCGGATTGAACTGTTGAGAGTAGCCGTTGGGCCAGAGCTGCCGCGGATGACCGGTGCCACCTGGCGGAAGTCTCCCAAGCCAATAAAGAGCTTCCCTCCAAAGGGTAGGTTATTCCCCATAATATCCTGCAGGAGCTGATTGGCACACTCTATTATAGCCTTCTTTGCCATCGGCAGCTCTTCCCAGATGATAATAGCGGCCTGCCGCAGTAACTCCGCGCGGCCCGAGTGGACACTAATCCTGGACTCCAAGCCCACATCCGTCTCCTGCACCGGAATCCCAAAGGCAGAGTGGGCTGTACGACCACGCTCATAGTGGATAACACTCAGTGCAGTCGTGCCAGTCACACACGCAATTTGTCCGTCCCCCCGGACGCGGTCGCAGATGGTACTCACTAAAAAGGTCTTGCCACGACCAGCGCGGCCATCAATAAAGAAGCATTCACTAGAGCCACAGTGGCTGAGGATGCGGTCAAAGATGTTTTGCTGATCTGCATTCATCTTGGCATAGGCGTCTTCGCTCCTTCTGCGGAGAGTGGGTATCCGATCACAGAAGAAATTTAGCTCCAGGTCTAGCTCAGAGGCATGATAATGTGGCTCTGGTAAACCACACTGGCTTAGGGTGGAGCCCTGCGCAGACAGGTAGCGCGCAATATCTGCGAGCGCCAGGTTCGACGACTCAACAGGATGGTGATGCAGTCGGTAGTCCACACAAAGCTCCTGCTGGAACTGTGTCCAAAGCTCCACCGCTGGAAACGGCAAGTCTAAGAGGAGATAGGCGAAGAGAAAACGGAGCTGGGATGGACGACTATATGCCCGAATTGCCTCATTCATAGCGTAAACTGCCTCATGGACATCTTGAAACAATCCCAGAGCGGTCGCCGCTTCCTGGTATGTGGGGTAGCAATGACCACGGACTGTGCGGAGATCCTGGAAACTGAACGCAGACCGCACGTGCAGCAATGCTCGAAGATATAAGAGCTCTTTTGAGCGCACTGGGACTGTCTGAAGGCGTGTGACAATTGGCTCATGGGTCCGCCGGCGGATCACCCTCTACTACAAACCGTGATCTGTACTCACAGTGATAATAGGGTGCTGGGTGGTTTCCAGGGGGATATCAAATGGCCGAGTTTGCAGATAGTAGACACTAAAAAACTCCGAATACTTTAGCTCCTGAAGGTCTGCTGTTCGTGGGCGCTGGAAATACCAAAGTAGATCACTCATGGCGGTGAAGCCTGGTGCAGCCGGATGATGCATGCGGGGCAGATTCTTCCCTTCCAGATGCACTGAAAGACAGCGGACAGCCGGTCTCTTCCGGACAGTGTCATAGCCAAAGATGCGATAGACAGCCTCGGAAGAGGAGAGATATCGACCGCTGACGTAGTCCTCATACTCATCTACCAGCTCATTTCCATCCTGTGGAGATGAGAGGGCGGGAAGGCTGAAGCGCGTGCGATCCGGCCCCTTGAACAGATATTTAAAGAGGTAGAGGAAGATGACGGCGGTTGAGCAGACATCCACAAAGATATGGCAGTCCATTAACTCCACCAGAGCTGGTATGTGAGGAGTCACCCACCGGTCCTCTTCCTTGCGCCGGCGATAATGCACGCGGCCAATATCGTCGATGTACGTATGTAGAGCGATCGGCTGGGGATAGCCATAGATGCAACGGCCATTGCGGTTACAGCGGGATGTAGGGCGGGTCAGATGGTCACGAGAGTGTATATGAAAACGGTTTATCGCCGTATAGAGCCATGGTTTCTCCACAGGATTCGGTAGCTCTGCGGAGATGATGGTGTCTAGCACAGATAGAGGGGGTTCGTGGCTAACCTTGATGATAATATGGGCGTGTGGTAGGCCCCGTTTCTGAAACTCTGTCACACTGATCTCATACAGTATTCTACTGAAATTCTGGCGCAAGAAGGCCTTTAAGGCTAGGAGACGTCGGCTGAAAACACGGCATACCACAGCCGGGATATCAGTGACATCTTGGCCCGGGAGCAGCCGTGACTGGATCTCCGGCCAGTGAGAATTGGTGGTCATGGTGAGAAAGAAAGATGATTTTCCCAGCTGGCGCGCGATAGCTAGAGAGTCTGCAACCTGGTCTGACGCCCACGCGCGAGAATCCATAAAGCTGGCGGGGATCTTATTCTGAAAGAGATCAGGAACAGCCGGATCCTGCGCCTCATCCATCCCTACCGCCTGTTGACGTCGACCGGTCTTCAAAAAGTGTAGCCGCTCTTCCTCTGTGCGAGAGAACATATCTACCGCATATTCACAGGCGAGGCGGCCGAAGATCTGCAAACGCGGCTCCGTCAGGAATAGGTGGCGGTACCATTGGATCTGGCTACAGGGGAGATTCTTCTGCGAGGGTGCTCGGAAGCCCCAGCCTGATGTGCCGTGTGGGAATAAGAGCGGGTACTGCAGCGGCTCATACTGGCAAGACAGGATTGGAACAAAGCGTGGCCGGCGGTCTCCCTTGCGGAAGAACACAATCTTGCGAGTGCTGATCTGGCGAAGATTCTCCGTATTGATGACAGAAGCAAGCTCGCCACCAGCTGGTGGTACACAGAGCTCGATACCAAGTGGGATAGCTTGTTCAGTCGTCTGGCTGATGGCATGGCTCAGGCAACGTACATATGGGCTGACCTGACTGAGAAAGGAGCGCACCACCTGTACCACATCTTGGGGGACATCCAGCCGCTTTGCATGTTCAGCGCGTCCGGTCTCATCATAGAGGAACCAGTGCATACTGTGACCTTTCTCTGCCACATCCAGCAGTCGGTGATAGACACGGCCCTCCAAGACTACATTGGCAAGGCCCTGGAAGTGTACAAAGCGGCCAGAGGTGCCGATGGCGGAAAACGCAAAGGGATTGTTCACACGACGGCTTATAGCAGAGAGACGACCGCGGTAACTGTCCAGAAGGGGCTCTAGGAGCTCCTCACACTGTGGCCGCTTCGGTAGGCGCCTCCGGCCCTTGTTGCAGCACCATCCGTCGGATTCCTGGGAGAGCAGAGTAACACCGCAGAAGGAGCAGCGCTTGGACCAATCCTGGTGAAATGGAGAGACTGGATGTTTACTCATGTGCTCCCACCAAGACAGTACATCTCCTGTAGCGCGATGCCTCTGGGTATTCTTCGCGCGGCAAGTATCGCACGTTTTATACTGCACAGGATTCCAGGGTCGTGCGCATCCGGGGCAGAGTACATGCAGCTGCTGGGAAGAGTCGGATGTGGAAGTCGCTGGCGGACGATCCCGACTTCTATTTACGCGGCAAGCATCGCAGGTGTTATACTGTACGGGATTCCAAGGTCGTGCACAGCGGGAGCAGAGTCCACGCGGGGCTGAGGAGCTGGGCAATGGAGAAGACAAAGAAGGAGCCTGGAGCGGAGAGGACGGGGGGCGACTGGAAGGGACTGACTGGCGAGAAGTCGGGCGTCTCCGAAGCCTATTCTTCCGGCGACAGTTATCGCACGTCTTATACCGAGTAGACTGCCAGGGCCGCGCACACAATGAGCAAAGCACCCGCTGGGCCGCAGGGAGTGAAGAAGCCATGTGCAGAAGAGCGGAGATCTTGCGGGGTGAAAAAGCGTAGTATATTGAACACGAGACGGTTTACGGTAGAGTATATACATGTAGAACGTCGCGCACAGGGAAGCTGCGAACGTGAACGATATGGCAGCGGAAGAAACCCTCGCCCCCTCCTGATCGCCCCCAGATAGGTGCACGAGCGCGACCAGTGTCCCATCCCCGTACCCGTACGTGGCAGGAGACCCGAAGCAGCCGGCGAGCAGCATAGTGACGGTAGCGTGCAGCAGAGAGGGGCACGGAGCAGGCAGTCGAACGAGGCGACGCCGGAGGCGGACGGGGAAAGGACGGTCAGGAAAAAGAAAGGAAAGTAGAGGAGTGAGAAACGCGAAGCGGGGGACCGGAACACGGAGAGAGCAAGCTGACCTCGCCATGACCCGAGCCGTGGGTCCCTCTTCGCGACCCGCGACCCGCCCCTCCGGAGGGGAGGGTCGCACCTGAGGGTCATAAAATCTTTGGAGGGTCACCCGCCAAGCGACCCTCACGACCCGCATATGCATAAATTTTTCACGCTTTTCCTAATTAGGATGCATAAATCTGCTGACACACACTCGTAAATTACTGTTTCTTATACCTGTTTCGTATGTCCGACGGCGAATCCATCTTTTTCTATAGAACCCCAACGTATTTTTATGAAATATCCCTTTTGAATAAGTTTCCTTGCTCAGTAATACTAGATTGACACCTTTTTCTGTCTCAGTAACACCATTGTGGTATGTATTGAGAAGAGTTGGAGAGAGTCGCCTGTAACAACGGGGAAATATATTTTGATCATAGGCGCTAGTTGCACTATAATCTGGAGAACTTTGACATTCATGGTGTTTACCCTTGAACCTCCGAAAATCCTGACTTAATTATATTTAGTATATATTATTCACTCTCTCGATACTTATACTTGTCAAAATTGAGCGAAATATATCAATCAAGTCCAACTATGTCCTGCCAAAGTCCTAGGGTCGCGAGGATGAACCTCAGGGTCACCCTCACGATCCTCAAGTTCTAGCCAATTAGCATGAGCAGTATCAAATGTGATCTGTCATTTTATCTCCTTGTGTCCACAGAGACAAACAATTGTCTACAAGTCTCAATTACCCCTGAGTTCTTTGCTGAACTGCAAAGGAAATCTGGTAAGTCTTCCCTCTTCTAAGTCCTAACCATTTTCACCATGTCCCAGTTCTCTGACCCATTCTCATCTGCTTATGGGGGTCCACCCTCGGATTTTCTTGAATACATTGCTGATGATGGTCGAAATCAGCTTTACTCTCCTATCCCATCTGGAAGTCAAGATACCCCCCTTCCGTCGTCTAAGACTCGAGCGGCACCTGATTGTCTTCCCCGGATTTGCCCTAATCGGATCCGATCATTCATCGTGTACTCCCCGGAAATGGGTCACGAATTCGTGCAGTGGTGGCTTCAGACCGATTTTGGGAAAAAGAAACAGATATCTTGGGATGCGAAGCGAGCCGCGCAGTGTTGGAAAAATTTTGATCAAGTCGCGCTTGAGAAAGATGGAAAGCCTGGGGTTATGTGCCAGCAATATCGGAAGGTGCTTGATCACCCAGGATGGGCTCATTCCGGGACATCTTCAATGAACAAGCATTACAATAGGATCAATTGCCGGAAAGCGGCCTCAGCTGCAGGCAAGAAACCAAACATCAAGCTAGCATTAGAGCATGCGGTATGTCTAAGACCTAACTTTGACCGTGAGCAGCCCAACCCTGACCTAGACGTCCAGGCGCAGAATACGGCGGTACGAATATTTGACGAGCGAGTCTAGCAGCAGAAGCTTGCTAAGCTCCTTGCTGTCTCGCATCTTCCCTTTCTTTTTCTCGAGCGCACCGAGTTTCGTGATCTGATCTCTTACGCCCGGCTAGCACCATCAATGCCAGAAATTCCTTCTGCCAAGGTTATGCGCCGGCAGCTTCGAGACCTCGTCCGTGAGAACTAAAAGAATATTCTTCAGAAACTCCCTTCTGGTGCGAAGCTATCACTTGCCCTCGATTGCTGGACATCTCCATTTCGGCAGGCATTTATGGCAATTACAGGATACTTCTTGGACGAAGACTGGGAGTATCATGAGATATTACTTAGATTCGAGTATTTACATGGATCTCATTCCGGTGCAAATCTAAGTGAAGTGCTCCTCCAGCTGCTACAGGAGCACCGGATCACAGACCGAGTGCTTGCGGTAACCACCGATAACGCTTCCAATAACGTTACTCTCATGGCAAGTGTCCACGAGGCAATTAAGTCACTACAATCCTCGAACGATGTCGTTATTATTCGGGTACCGTGTATTGCACATGTGATCCAGCTAAGCCTCAAAAATCTCCTTGGGAAGATGAAGGCTGCTCCAAAAAATGACACGGTTGAGCAGGCATGGTCTGATGATCGAGTGGATAGTCTTCGTGCGAGACAGCAGAAACGCGAGATCGTGGACACTCTGAATAAGGTAACACACCGTGACTTTATTAGCAATTTATCATTCATTATCCTAATGTGTTTCTTAGGTTCGAAGCCTTGCGATTTATATCAACGCGAGTCCTCAGCGCCGAGAGTCATTCTACAACTTGCAAACCAAGGAGCCAAAACTTGTGCCAATCCAAGATGTTACTACTCGATGGAACTCCACGTTCTTAATGCTCGTACGCGCAAAGAAACTCCAGCAGGCCTTCGATGCTTTCTGCTCTCAGTACGACCAAGAGAACTTTTCCTTGAGCCAGGAACAGTGGAGGCAAGTGGACTATCTTATCTGCATTCTTCAGCCTTTTCACCAATTCACAACCCTTCTCTCGAAGTCCAAGGATGTCACTATCCATCGGGTCTTTAAGGTCTACAATAAGCTGTTTGACCACCTGGAAAAGTCGATTAGACAGCTTCGACGGAAGAGAGTTGCGTGGAAGCAGGTGATGCTTGCGTCCCTCGAAGCGGCAAAGAACAAGCTCTCAATTTACTACCGAGACACTGACAACATGGATGGTCATCTCTACGCCATTGGCACCATTCTTTCTCCGCAGGATAAACTTCAGTTCTTCTCAACCGCAGACTGGGACCTAGAGGAAGGCGGAATTGATTACCGAGCAACCTATCGCCAGAGCCTTGAGTCGTCTCTCGAGAAGTACTCGGAGAATCTTGCCCAGGGGCAGCAGATATTGGGTGCTCCTCTGGCCAATACGGCAACAGATGAATTTGATTTAGCCTGTGTTAGAGACGAGTCGCAGCAATCTCAGATTCCACAGCCAGTTCAGTCGGACGAGCTTACAAGGTATCTTGGTAGCAGTGAGTGTCTCAGTTTCTCTTGATCTCGATGGAAATAATGACTGATTTCTCTTTTAGACACAGTCCCAAATGCCCAGCCTCGAACCTGGTGGAAATATCACCAAGATGAATTCCCTGCAATGGCAAGGCTTGCACGAGATGTTCTTTCTATTCCCGCTAGTGGTGCAGGAGTAGAGCGGCTTTTCAACTCTGCACGAGATATCTGTCATTATCGTCGAGGCTCTCTACAGCCTCAAACGATTTCGGACCTTATGATGTATATGTGTACATCACGGTTTGAGATTCATGAAGAAGAGCGAATAATGCTCTCTGAATACCTTTCGGCTCAGGAGATACAGGCTGCAAAGGAAGAGAGAACACAGCAACAAATCACTGTTGATCCAATTAGTGATGATGAAGAGGATGAAGGGCCTTCTACCGAGCTCCAAGCAACTTCACAGCTCCGAGCAACTTCGCATGGCCCATCTGCAAAGGCAATTGGCAAAAGACGCCTAAGGAATATAGCTGAGGATGCGGAAAGTGATCAGGAGGATGATAGTAAAGTGACGTCTCTGCCAAAGATGCAGCAGCAGCACCGAGTGTCAGGTAGAGTTCGCAAGCGTTCAAGGTTGCTTGATGGATATGAGACGTAGAACATGCAGTTTAGTTCGTTTAATTCATCTGTTTATTTGAATATTTCATTTTGATTCAGTGCTTTCAGAGTGATTAAAGCTAACCAAGTAGACCTACGAATGCTGTAAGACTGTAAGTGAGATACTCAAAAATACCGCCAAAATCTACACAATTTATGCACCTCGTGACCTGCTGATGTTTGCATTGTTTTACGACCCTGAGGGGAGGGTCGTAGCCCTGAGGGTCGGGTCCCAGCATCAACGACCCTCCCCTCCTAGAGGGTCAGGGTCGGGACTCACGACCCAGGAACCTCCGTGGTTCGGGTCGCGGTCCGGGTCGTCAGGGTGACCCGCGGGTCGTGGCGAGGTCTAGTGATGTTCTTGTGCGTTCCCTTGTGACCACCACCCTTGTTTCCGGATTTGATATAATCTTTGACAGCGTTGTCCTTGGCCTGTGCATTCGCCTGGACTTTAGCAACAGCTTTGTTTGGGTCCTTTGAATCTTGATGAACATCTATGCTTAGATCAACCGTTTTAACAGCATTGCTGCGGGTGGTCAAATTGTCTGGTAGAATTTTCGTGATCTTGTCGACATTGTTTCGGACCGCTTGAGAAAGCTCACTAAGGACAGTGTTCCAAGGCATATCGTGTATCAGGAATGGTTGATTCGAATTTATCGCCGCGAATAAAATGAAGGATCTGGGTCATAATATTACCATGGGAAGCGAGGACGTCGAGGAGATTTATACCTTAAGAAATGAAGGGATGTAGTACTGCTTCATCGCTGACAAGGATTAGTTTGGTTTCTAAATAAAGACTTTCCCAGCAGCAGGCCATCAATTCCGAACACCAGTAAGCGCTTAACAACCTGAACAGCTCGGCATCAATGCGACCTAGAATGGGCATCTTGCCAGGAGTAAGCCGCGTTGTGTGGGCGATTCGCCGATATCTGGAGATCGCCTGTGCTTCTATTAAAGTTGGCGCTTACATGTTGGTATCACCTTTTGACTCAATAGCACTTCGCAAATAGGCGCCCGGTTAAAGGTTGAGCGGGGGAACAAAGGAATAAAGATAACTAGTCATCAACGTGTATGGAACGTTAGTTATGTTTCGAACAACAGGCAATATCAGGATTCAGGATGTTGGTGTCCGAGTGATGCTAGATGTGTCTGGGCGCAGGAGCACGTAGCCCAAGGCAACATTGAAGTCAACCTCACCGCTAATGAAGCCAATCCTGGGCTAAACTGTGACGATATGTACGTACAGGTTCCAAGAGACAAGCAGATCGACGTGAATCAATATTCGTGCCTTTTGGCCCGACGGGCGACACCGAATAAATGCAGTGTATTTAGGTCACACTATCCACAATTTTGGCCCAAGGTGACATTGAAGTCAGCCTCGCTGTTAGCTCAGCCAATCCAGGGTTGGAATTCGACGGTAGATGCAAGTGCCAAGAGACCACAGTTTCAGCTAGATCGAGGTGAACCAATAGCGCTGCATCTGAGCCTCGGTGAGAGAGGTCAGTGCGGGGGTCGCGCGACGGAGGGTGAGAATCACCCGCTCTCACCCAGCTTCTCACCCTGTCTATTGCGCACTCACCCTAGCTCACCCTGGTCGCGCGACCGTAAAGCGGCGCTCACCCCAAACTCACCCGGGGGGCACCCACCCGACTATTGCCTGCACATAAGCCGCACGCCAGCCAGTTAATAGTATGGTGTGTGCGTTAGGACGACGACTGCCCTTGTCGCTATACCCTTCCGGCCCTTTCGTTTGAACGCCCTGAAGCCCCTCTATTCTTCACCCGAATGCCCCCAATACCCCTGAAGCGCTGACGTCGGCGGCTATTTTCCCTGCGTCCCGCCCTCCTTCCTGCTCAGGTCCCAGTACCCCAGTCCCCACTTTTCTTGTGGCCTGAACTAAACCTGATCGGAGCTGACTACGGAAAATAGATTCACCACGACTATTACAACTATCGAGTCTGGTCTTGGTTACCTTTTTTCCAAGGACGCAGTGAAGATCCTGACCAAAGAGGTCTAGAAACGATGGGCTCGCTCATATGGAAATAGCCACACTTAAAGAGGTCTCCCGTGGCCGAACACATTGGGTACTTTGCCCATTAAGCTGAGTTGAACTTGCGCCCTTTTTGATTCACCCAGAAGGACCCGCACTATGAGGAAAAGGATCCACGCTTTTGGGCGTCTTTGGTCATGGATTCTTATGTTGTCCCTGAAGGCGATCTAGTATTTATTGATTCGCTAGTACAATTTAATCAACTATGGGCAGACATTCTATCTATTGGGCCTTATGGACTGGAAGCGAACATTCTCACAGATGCTGGTAGGATCTGTAAAACTATGTCGCCGACGACATCCACTCTTCGACAGTATAGTTTCAAATCCTGATAAAACTATTGTAGGGTACTAGTTCTAATTCCCCCTTGTATGCCACCGACAACAGCGCCTAAATGTCAATCAGATAGTATCATAATGCAGTCTACACCATCTTGAAAACGTGCCAATAGACGCAACTCAGTTGTTGGGGATCAATCCGTAAATAATTCAAAACGTAATCAGGACATTATTTACGTCCCTTTCCCTCATAAGCTGAATCTGTAATAGGTAAGAGATTATTCACCATTCTCATTTACCACGGAAGAACCCACTGATCTGGTAACACTGAGCCAGACTAGATGTTCCCGGAGACGGAAGTTGCTCAACGTCTAGGCGTGGCTCACCAGGTAGAGGATTTCTTGAATCTTCCTCAGAGCTTGACCTGCGTGATGTTTATGAAGGATCACATACCCATTTTCCAATCCTTCTCCCCAAGCACAAAGCACAAAGCGGACAGATTTGCCAACAATAAGGCTAAAATACACGTTTGACCGTTCTAGGAACTACAAGGACCCCGGGAAGCTGAGAATTTTCTGGCCTTTTTTTACCAGTTCCCAGAGTCGACATTAGGCCCAGGAACCCAATGCCGTTTCCAGGAACATGGTCGATCGCCGCGAGGAACAAACCTGTCGGGCCTTAGGATCAAAAAGAGGAGGCTTAGGATTTGTCACGCAGACCTCTAGGAGCCTCACTTATCCCAGAAGTAAATTCGCTTGTGTCAGCTTTTTCTGCAGGCTTGGCTCAGCACCAGTAGTTGAGGTACGTGTATGCTGGAAGTAAGAAAAGAAGTGTGGAAGCACGTTGACCAAAGTTCAGCGGGCACCAGGAAAGCAGTGGCCAAACGCCGTCAACGACGCCGAATGTATTGCTTGCATAATGTGAGGCTCTCCTTCAACGTGGAGCATCAAGTTCATAGCACCGACAATCTCGCAACATTCGCTGACCAATCTGGATCACCATCTAATCCCGATATGCGAGTCTCAAGGAAGCGAGCCAAACTCGCTCCTCATAATTTGATTGCTGTTTCCGATGATGGCAATTGATCACTGCTGCTCAACATTTCAATTGAGACTCATGAGTTCAATGTGGAAGCCGAAATATAAATACCGTCAATCAGTTCTAGTTAATACTCTTCCCAACCCCAACTCCTGATTCTCACACTTGACATCCAAGGCGGATGCATTATCACAACCCCAACGCCTGCGAGGATGATAGCATCATGACCCAGGCGAACGAGCAGCTTGCACGCGAGCTGCTCCAAAGTCAGAAAACCACGCTTGCCACATGCCTGGCCTCCCGACATGTGGTGTCTCTCCGTATCTTCCCCGGCTATGTCGGAGATTGGATGCCAGCAGATGGTTTTCGAGAATTGTATCAGAACTGGTATATGTCGATCTCCTTGACTGGACATGCGCAGATTTACGCAGGAAAGACGCCATCATGGAAAGATTCGAGCTTGACCGTCAGAGCTTCCAGCCATTCTTGGAAGGCCACAGTGGCTATCTCTCAATTATTGTTCCCGACCTGGACCTTGCCGACCAGGCTGCGGAAAGCGAGGGTTGACGTGCCCTGGGTTTCATCCAATACGAAAAGAAGGCCGCTCAAGTACCCATCGCAAATGCATCCACGCAACTCCCCATTGATGCCCTTGGTCTGGGCTTCAACACCAAGGACACCCACGACCTTCTCGTAGTATGTCACGGCGAGGGTCTCAAGCTGGCCTCGCTGGTCCTCTCTCGAGACGGCTACCAGGTGAGTATCGCCGCGAGTGGTTGCAATTGGAGATTTGACATGCACACAGACTGCACTTCGATTTCTTGTACTGTGGCGCCATCTCAGAAAACCAAGTCGATCCAGTGGGCCGATCCTGCTCTAGACATGGCAATCCTTCGGTCCCGTGTGGAGATGAATGTGGCGGTGGTGATCGGGCCGCGACGGGCTAAGTCAGGCCGACGGTCGCGCTCGACGCGTTTCTGAGCTAGCTCCAGCTGACGACGATTGACATCCGCGGACTCACTTACCCTTCCTTCATCATCCACAGCACACGGCGACTTGATTCTCGATCCTTAGCCCCGGGGTAACCTCTATCACAATGGGGTCACACTGCCCAATTCCACTAGAGGAGCGTTTCTCTTCGCGTACAACTTCGCCCATGCAACCACCTGCCGCGATCGACGCAGACTGGCATCCTGGCGAGATGCAGCTCGCCAAGTACAACAGATATAAGAGAAAGCTCTACGCAAACAGGAAGACCCCATCTTGCCTCTGCTTGTGGATCTTTTGCGGAAGCATGCCCGTGCCACCGACGCCAAGATGATAAGCCCTCTCTTAGAGTCGTCGACGACCCGTCAGATCTGGCAATACCTGCTACGCGAATCAGCGAACAACCAATTCTTCTACAGCGAAGGGAGCAATGATCAGGTGTGTATTACGCTACAGAATGTTTCGCGTCTTGATAACTGATGCAGACAGAACGTGAACACCATCCGGGACAGCCTCGGCAAGCGCCCTGTCCGCCTTCCCGACACGTTGTGAACATGCTGCGTGCCCACCCTATCCGAACCGTCGAAGAAGAGCGACAAGAGCTGTTCAAGGGCGCGAGGCCCTGCGCCGTCCCGGTCACAACATTCGCGAGAACAGTCGACGGAGCGTTGCGAGCCTGCTTTGCTCTGCTGAAATTCACTGACCATATTCAGGTAGTCTACGTCCAAGGCTCGACCGGCAAAGTCGACTTATACTTTGATAAGGGACAGGGTATGCTTAATATACATTGCCGATGGTTGGACTTTGCTTGTACGCACCACCGGTCGTTCTGCCGGCCCTGTCTCCGGGGTCGGCGCCCCATTCTTCTGCTGTCATGTGGTGGAAGAGCTCTTGGTTCGATCAATTGCACCCATATTCAAAGCAAATCCGACGTCTCGACCAGCAGAAATAAAGTTCATGGATTGGACGGCGACTGCGATACCTGCCACACAGCATCAAGTTGAAGCCATATCCCGGGAGCATTCTGGTCAGTTGGGAAGACAATGAGACGGAATCCTTTCGCACGCTCGGCTCCAGCGGCCCGGACTACCACGTTGTACTTCATGATGACAATTGTGCAAATGCTGAGACGGCGCTTCTCCACGATAAAGCAGGTAAGTGGTCATTAATCATCCAGGGAACAACGCTGACCCTTTGGTACAGCCCTCCCAACGACGTGGTGCCCTGTGGTTGCCGCCAGCAGTTCGCTCGTCAGACGCACCGAATGTGCC